CACCATCCCCACCACCACCATCATATCCCCGCTCTTCCTCATTTTCACCCCCATCCTTCCACAAACCCTGCCTCCCTTCCACACCCCTCAACCCCCCTCCCCCCCATCGCCTCTCCTCCTCGCCCTGACAGCCCCTTCGCCGCCCGCAGGAAAGAAGGAGTGGTCGGGCCTCATCGGGCAGTTGGTGAACCAGACCCACGTGACGCGCTCACCATCAACCCGGAGCGAGCGCAGGTCATCGAGTTCTCCAAGCCCTTCAAGTACCAGGGAATCACTATTCTAGAGAAGAAGGTGAGGAGTCTAATCCTCTTTAAGGAATTTAATGTCTCAAGGAAAGAAAGAAAGAAAGATTAAAGGTTCAGTTTTCCTGAAGACAAAACTGTTGAATGTATTTTTTTTCAAGTTTGCTTAATACTGTTTTCCAGAATTCTAGATTCACCAGAAGGAATCTTATATAATGGATCACTGAGTGTACCGAACCATATAACGTCTTTGTTAAAGCTTTAAACCCTCTGAAAATATCCGAAAACTAACTTTAACGATATCTAATTTTCCTTCCGAAAACCAAACTTTAACGATATCAACCAAAACCATCCTTCAGGTATCCCTAAACCATCCAAATTTTCCCCTAACCAAAATATCCCCGAAAAACAACCCGAACTATTTCCAAATAACATCCCAAGATATCCCAAACGAGACAGAACTGTACCTCCCCCCAAACACGACCCAACCGAAGCAGAATCGAGCCCGAAACTGACCCCAACGCCCGTTTTTTCCCTCCCGACAGCAACCTCGCTACTCCACGCTAGTCTCCTTCCTTCAGCCCTTCCGAGACACGCTCTGGATCCTCGTGATGGTGTCCGTGCACGTGGTGGCTCTCGTGCTCTACCTCCTAGACAGGTTTAGCCCCTTCGGCAGGTGAGGACGCGCTGGGGGCTGCTCACGGTAGCTTCTTCTGTGGGTCTGGAGGGGAAGGTTGTTCAAAGCAGGTGTTATTTAAGTCCCTTTAACAGCTAGGGACACACTTGAGAATGTTTTTTTCTGGATTTTGTGAATGAAGGGAAATGTTGTCAAAGGTAGCTGGGTTTTTCAGTTCCTTTGACACAGGTAATGACACACTCGTGACTGTGTTTTTTTCTGGGTTTTATGAATGAAGGAGTGGATTGGTGTTAAACGTAGGTGGGTTTTCTCTGTGGTTAGCTAAGGAAGGATGTGGGGATAAATGCCTTTAAAAGAAGATGGAGTTCTGTTAAATTGCTTTCTGTGGAGAGCTAGGACGGGATAGCATAAGGCGGATGCTGTTAAAAGGAGGTGAGTCTTCCAGTGGTTATCTAACGTAGGGAGAGGGATGCTGTTAAAACTAGGTGGGGATCTGTAGGGTTGGTTACTAGATCTTTCTTATTTTTTGCATTTTCCCGAGGTTTTTAGCCACGGATACTTCCTCCTACGACGGAAATAGATCAAATTCAAATCATCATGTCATTTACCTCTTTACCACCATCCACATACCTCTCGCTCTTCTTACGACGAACAGATTACATTTAAGGTTATTATGTCATTCCGTCTCTATCACCTACTGCATTCCTCTCTGACCGTGATTCCACTACAACACACGCCCCCCCCCCTTCCAGGTACAAGCTAGCAAACATGGATGGCACAGAAGAAGATGCCCTGAATTTGTCCTCTGCAATCTGGTTTGCTTGGGGAGTCTTGCTCAACAGTGGCATTGGCGAAGGTAAGTGCCCCGCCTCCGGTGCCTCTCATGTTATTGTTATTATTATTATTGTTATTATTGTTATATTTATTATTATTGTTTGTTGTTGTTGTTGTTATTATTATTATTATTATTATTTATTATTATTATTATTATTATTATTATTATTATTATTATTATTATTATATTATTATTATTATTTATTATTATTATTCTATTTATTTATTTATTTATTTATTTGGGTGGGTACATTTTCGGTTGATTATGGAAAATCAGATATATAGATGTAACCTCTCTGACATGTAGATGCACTGATAACAAACCACAAATATCTGTCTATTTCTCTGTCTGTCTATTTGCTCTACCGCAGCCTTGGATTTCGTGAGACTCAAAAACTTATCCATCACTGTCTATCCTTGTACCTAACTGTCTACTTATCCACTTCTTTATCTATGCATATCACAATCAATTTACTAATTATGATTTGGTTTTATCATGATCATTCATAAAAATGCCATTCTATTGATGTGCTTCCTGCGACCACACAAAAGATGTCGGTTTGTCTATCTCGTTAATATGATATTCTGCCTGGATGTTAGTCTATCGATCTGTTTACTACACTCATTCACAAGAAAACAGACAAACAACAAAAAACAATCGGTTGCTTTGCTGACAACTTCACTCATCCACAAAACAACAACAACAACAACAACAAAAAAACAATCGATTTGATAACAATGATGATTCAAAAACAAGTCCATATACCCAGCAATCTTCCGCTCTCCCTCCGTCGCCTTGCCATTCCACTCATCCCCAAAACCTCCGCCCACTGCCTGACGCCGCCCTCTGCCCTCCCGCAGGAACTCCTCGCAGCTTCAGCGCCCGCGTGCTGGGCATGGTGTGGGCAGGCTTTGCCATGATCATCGTAGCTTCTTACACTGCCAACCTGGCGGCCTTTCTCGTGCTCGACCGCCCACAGACCTCCCTCACCGGAATCAACGACGCTAGGGTGAGTGGGCGTGCGGGCGTGGTTGGAAGGGTGGGCTGGGTGGGGGGGGGGTCTCGTGTGTGGTTTATGAGTCCGTGGGCGTGGTCTCGTGCATGGGTCAGTGGGCGTGCGGGCGTGGTTGGAAGGGTGGGCTGGTGGGGGGGGTCTCGTGTGTGGTTTATGAGTCCGTGGCGTGGTCTCGTGCATGGGTCGGTGGGCGTGAGGGTGGTTGGGTGGGAGTCTCGTAAATTGATGCGTTTTGGATGGTGTGTGGTGTGTGCATTTCGTGTTTGTGTGTGTTGGTTGGTTGGTGGGGGAGAAGGGGGGGTATGAGTGTGGGGGTGTGTGCATTGTGTGTCTCGTTTGTTCAGTTAGTATATGTGTAAGTGTTCCTGGGTGCTTGTCTGTGACTCCATTGCATGATGTGGGAGAGAATACGAGAGAAAAAATAAGTTTGATTTAGTTGTCTAGCTTATTTATATATTTGTTATGATTGCCAATAAGTAGCTATCATTTTCATTAATGAATTATGTTTTTTATGATATTATTCTAATGATGAAATCCATTATTCCATCCAAGATTTGAGAATCTTAGCAGAATTATAATATTAGTTTAGTTACAGCTTTAAAACAATGATTTCTGATTGGTATAACAGAAAATGGTCACTTGACAGGGATAACTATACTAATTTTACATCAACTTGGCCTTTTGTTACAAATTAAGTTTCTTTCTGCCTATCCGTCTATTTATCTGCTTCTCTCCCTCTCTCCTTCCTACCTCGCCCTCCCACTCACTTCAACTAAACCCATAAACCCTACCATAACCCCCCTCTCTCCCTTTTTCTCCCCAAAAAAATCAGCTGCGAAACCCGATGGAGAACTTCACGTACGCCACGGTCAAGGGCTCGTCCGTGGACATGTACTTCCGGCGGCAGGTGGAGCTGAGCAACATGTACCGCACGATGGAAGGCAACAACTACCACACGGCCGAGGAGGCGATCCAGGCCGTCAAGTCAGGGTCAGTTCCTGTAGGATCAGGAGGGCGCCGGGGGAGGGGGGGGGAGGGGAGAGGACGAGGGGACTAGGGACAAAGGGGAGAAGGAAGGGGAGGAGAGAGGACGAGGAGGATGGGGGGGAGAGGGGGGAAGGGACGAAAGGGAGGGGAGTAGGGAGAGGAGGAATGATAGGGGGAGAGAAAAGAGAGGAATAGGGAAAGGAGAAAGGGGACAGGGTAATGGGAGAAGGAGGTAGGACAAGGCGGGAGAGTGAGTTAAGGAGGAGGGGGACAGGGGAGTGGGGAAGGGGTAGGACGAGGGAGAGAGGGAGAGGGAGTAGGAAAGGAGGAGGGGTAAAGGGAAGGGAACAGGGGAAGGCAAAGGGAGGAAGGGAGAGGGTTAATAATGAGATAAATTAGATTTTTCCAGGTTAATCAACGTAAAGGATAAGTGTGTTTGTTATTGCTTAAAAAAAAAAACATAGAAAATAAGTAATATTATTTTTATCTCATTGTTAAAGTAAACAAAGAAAATGTTTTTATTGATGATGCCCAAATAATTTAACTCAAGGTTATTGAACATCTGAGCATCACGAAGCACGAATGTCTACTACTTTTCGTCAAAATAGATAATGCGAATGTCAGGGTAAGCTAAAAGGTTTAATAAAGGGGTTTCCAAGATTCCATTTCAACTTTCAGCAAGATTTATATTAGTGAAGTTGTCTGGCTTTTTTGGTTTCTAGTTCAGAGCGTTAATTCCTTGGGCTCGTCTGCAGCAGGTATGACTCCTTCATTTCTAGCTCTAAGGCACAAATACTAACGACGAAGCCGCCTCAGACTTCCCAGTCTGGTCCAAAGACAGGTAATCCCTCTGGGCATGCCCTTCCCCCTGGACATGTCCCCCCTCGTGGGCGGCCCGGCATGGGACTCGAGCCCCTGCGTCTGCGTGCGGGCGGAGGGCGCCTGGAGTCCCGTGCCGCGCCGAGCCCTTCCGAGCGACTGAGTCCGAGCCCGACGCCTTTCAGGAAGCTGAAGGCGTTCATCTGGGACAGCTCGCGGCTGGAGTACGAGGCGGCGCAGGACTGCGAGCTGGTGACGGCGGGCGAGCTGTTCGGGCGCTCCGGCTACGGCATCGGCCTCAAGAAGAACTCGCCGTGGGCGGACCGCGTCACGCTGGCCATCCTGGAGTTCCACGAGAGCGGCTACATGGAGGAGCTGGACAACAAGTGGATCCTGCAGGGCATGGACGACAAGTGCGACACCGACGACAAGGCGCCGGCCACGCTGGGCCTCAAGAACATGGCGGGCGTGTTCATCCTGGTGGCCGCCGGCATCGTGGGCGGCATCGGGCTCATCATCATCGAAATCATCTACAAGAAGCATCAGATCCGCAAGCAGAAGCGCCTGGAGATCGCCCGCCACGCCGCCGACAAGTGGAGAGGGGCCGTCGAGGTAAGTCCGGCCGCCCTCGGCGCGCGACGGCTCGCCGCCCGCGCCCGCAGGTCCTCAGGCATTTATTCCTGTTTTGTGATGTTTCTCTGCCCTTTGTCAGCGAGCGCGCGCGCCTCGAGCGAGGAACTGAGTCCCGTCCTTTGCAGAAACGCAAGACGCTGCGCGCCTCCATGATGAACCAGAGAAGACTGAAGGCGAACGGCGTGAACGAGCCCTCGGTGATCTGCGCCAACGTGGAGAGCGGGTCGAGCGCGGGCGCCGTGTCGGCCTCCAGCGGGGGCCCGTCGGCGAGCGCCGTGTCCTCCGACTTACCTCGTGTGATTCCTCCGCCGCCCAGCGCTCCCCCCTTACCTCCTTCGCCTCCAGAACTGCCCCCAGATGTGCCTCCCGCACCGCCCGCTCCGCGCTGGGGCAACGACATCAGGCAACGCCACGTGTCCGCACAGGACGAGGGGCTGCCCCCTCCCCCTCCCCCTCCTGCCGGCGTGGACACTATGCGGCTCCATGCATCCTACAAGAACCTGTTCGGCCCTGACCCGCCCGACCTGGTGGTGTGAGCGCCTGCTGCGGCCTCTGTATCAGAGGTGGTCAGGCTCAAAGGGACAAGTGGCCCTGGCGGGGAGGCCCACTGACTCCCCTCTTCATTACGTCCACTCAGCGGCGCCGCGGGCAAGCCTCCCCGGGCCAAGCCTCCCCAGGCACCCAGCGCTGTCGCCGAAGGGCCTCCAGCCGGGCCGGGGAGGGACTTACTACGCTTCTCACTCGCCAACAACATTGTATAAAACCATGGACCTTTATAGCATGTTGACAGTGGGTCACAGAACCTTGACCACAATAACTTCAATTATTTAGTTTGGTAAAACACATTACAGCATTTATGCTTGCTCCTGGTTAGAAAGCAAACTATAATTTGAGTCAGGTAATCCACACAGACTTCCAATGATATATTAGGGAGATACTTGTAGTCCATTAAGGACTGGTAGACGCATCCTTCAGTCACCTTTAGGGGCCAGAGGACGCGGTTGTTGATCTGTTGTTGTCCTACAATCTCCCACACCGACACCAGGAGTGTGCTAACTGTGGAGCGTTAGTGTGGAGCCCCATCCAGTGTGAGGGAGCGGGGACTGCCCCCTCGTCGCAAGCGTGTGGGGCGGGGTCCTTTGCCCCCCGTCATTCCACGAATGTGAGGTATGGGGCACTAGGAGCACCCTCATGCTGCCAGTGTGAGGGGCGAGTGGCAATGAGTGCCCCCTCATTCCGCCAGTGTGAGGGGATGACGTCCAGAAGCGGCCCTCATGCTTCTCGCGTGGGGGGCCGGCATGAAGAGGCACCCCTCATGCCGCCAGTATGAGGGAAGGCGCCAAGGAGTCCCCCTCATGCCGCCAGTATGAGGATTGGCGCCAAGGTGTATCCCCTACTCTCGCGTTATCCTTCTTTCTGTTAGCCTTGTAAGGTTCTGCTAAATATCTGGAATCTACATTGTTGATGATACGCTTATTAACGTTGTGTGTTGTGACTCTGGACTGGCATGGGACGGGACGAAGCAGCTGCCTCCGATATCCTTATGTCCAAAACTCACGGTGTGCTGGTCTGTTCCCAACGTTATTTGTATGTACACTTATTTGTAATACCAGAGGCTGAGTATAATGGTTTTATTACAAAGAAAAAAACAAACAAAAAACAAAAAACAAAATAGTTTTCCAAAAAAAATATAAAAGTGAAGAATCAGTCATTGCTTAGCTGCATAAGCTAAATATGTTTAGAGCCCATTGGTAGAAAATAAATTGTTAAATGAAATTGAGGCAAAATATGATTTCAATCACACAAAAGTGGAGGTCTCCTGGGGAGGGGGCACGCGCCGTCGTCCCCCGAGCGAGGTCGTCCCCCGAGCGAGGTCGTCCCCCCGAGCGAGGTCGTCCCTGCAGTCCTTGTGTTTGCACGCGTGAACAGGTTATGCAGGCGTTCGTAGAGCCACGGGCGACGTCCGGGCCCAGAGGCAGTGTTGCAATAAGGGACCTTCAACCTTATGACACACCTACCGAAGGGTCAGGCGAGCCAACTGTGTGGCGTAGGAAGGTGTTTCGATGTGTGTGCGTGAGCGTGCGTGTGCAGGCGTGCGAGTGTGTCTGCGAGGATCTGTGTCGCTGAGTATGAGTGCGTGTGCCTGCGTGTGTATGCTAAAAGGATCCAGAATGGAGCTATATTTTACTGGTTATACTCATCCTTGATAACTGGCATACTCCTCCTTCCCCCCCCCCCTTTCTCTCTCTCATTTTATATAATTATGATTCATAATTTTGAAGTCTATAATCATCATATATTTTTTCATACATTAGCATTCCACCCAGCTATGCGACAGCGATGTTTTGCATGAAGGTGAACAGTTCATATAAAAAGAGAAAAATGAAAACACGAAGACAACAAGTGATATAACAAAACAGCTGATTACCAGATCGGTTTACGGGTTACTTGGAGGAGGACGCCCGGGCTCTGGCCCCTCCGGCGGGCGGGGTCGAGGCCAAGGGAGTCGAGGCCCAGTAGGTCGCGGCGCACGAGGTCGGGAGTCGTGGCCCCGCGCGCCTCGAGCGAAGTGCTGTCAGTGATTGTTACAGTAGATAGCTAGAGATGTTGTTATTGTTTCATTATCTGTTTATTTCCTATTAGGAGGTTTATGTGCTAAGATTAAATTTTAGGAAGTGAAGTTACGATGTACGTGGATATCTGTTCTGTTTGAAATCAAAGCCTCAAGCACATGCACTTTGTACATCCAATCACACACACACACACACACACACACACACACACACACACACACACACACACACACACACACACACACACACACACACACACACATTTGGACCCACCAGGGCACACGAGGATTTCTTCCCAAGGGAGCGATAGACACGTACATCTTCTCTCCAGAAGCTCTGATCCGATTCGCTTTTCTGCTGTGTTAAAATTAATGGTATTGTACAGTGTTGAGTGTACAGACTGTGGGTTAAGATCTGTAAGGACGAGAGTATCATGCCAATTACGCTTAAAAGTCGACTCTATTGTCAAGTCATATCAAAAGGAGACGTGAAAACGGTAGAATGACGAATCCGCGGCTCTTGGGGGTCCTACTCCGGATCCCTAGGGAGGTCCTGCTCTGGCTCTTGGGAGGTCTTACTCTGGATCCCTAGGGAGGTCCTGCTCTGGCTCGCCAAGGAGATCCTACTCTGGCTCGAGGAAGGTCCTACTTTGGCTTGCTAAGGAGTTCCTGCTCTGGCTCTTGGACCTGCTCTGGCTCGCCAAGGAGGCCTTACTCTGGCTTGCTAAGGAGGTCCTGTTCTGGCTCCGGGAAGGTCCTTCTCTAGCTCAAGGAAGATCCTACTCTGGCTCGCCAAGGAGGCCTATTCTGGCTCGCTAAAAGGGTCCTTCTCTGGCTCTAGGGAAATTCCACTCTAGCTCACGAAGGAGGTCCTACTCTGGCTCTAGAGAGGTCCTGTTGCTCTAGAGAGGTCCTACTGTGGCTCCCTCTCCCTAACTACTGTGGCTCTAGAGAGGTCCTACTGAGAGAGGTCGACGACCGACTTCGCCAAGGAGGTCCCGCAGGACTTCGGGGACGAGTCGGAAGGAACTTTTGCAACGAGTGCGCGTCTCTGTCGCATGTCCTCCTCGGTTGCCGTTTCCTGTGTCTCTGCACATTGGTTCATCCGCCCTCGCTCTGCCTCCGCGCCCTCGCTCTCTCTCTCTCTTGCTCTGTTTCTTCTCTTCTGGCTTATTCTCTCTTTCTTTCTCTCTCTCTCTGTCTCTTTTCTCTCTCTCTCTCTCTCTCTCTCTCTCTCTCTCTCTCTCTCTCTCTCTCTCTCTCTCTCTCTCTCTCTCTCTCTCTCTCTCTCTCTCTCTCTCTCTCTCTCTCTCTCTAGTCTCATTTTCCTTTATCTTTCCCTTGCTTCTTCTCTATCTTCCTTCTTTTCTTACTGTTCCCTCCATCCTTCTTCATTCCTTCTTCCTTCTTCTTCTCTTCTCTCTCCATCCATTCCTTATTCCCTTCATACTCTTTATTTCCCTTCCTTCCAGCCTCTCCCTTCCTCCCTCCGCCCTTCTTGATTTTCGCCCTTATGTTCCCTCGCCCGTGGGGTCTCCGCGGACGTATGTGTTGTTTAGCATTGTTTTCACCTCGTACGTCATCTAGCTCCACTCTGGGCCGCATAACGGGTTTGTATAAATAATAATAATATTAATAATAATAATAAATAATAATAATAACAATAATAATAATAATAATAATCTCAAACATTCATATTAGGCTTTGTTTATATTGTCGTTGCCAGAGGTAGCTGAGCGGCCCGCCCCGGATTTCTTAAAAAAAAAAAAAGAAATAAAGAAATGATTAATTAATTTCAAGGAGAAGTTTCACATATCCCCCCCCCCCCCCACCGCCCCCGAGATACAGGACAAATAAGAAAAAAAAGGATAATTAAATATAAGTAATAATAACCAAACAAGAAAATCAAAGTTAGATAAATCGCTTAACCACCTCTTCCCCCCCCCAAACCTGGCTCCACCCTCCCCCCGACCCGCCCTCCCCTCCCTCCCCTCGCCACGCCCGCCCGCCCTCTCCCCGCCCCCCTCGCGACACGCCCCTCCCCCGCCCTCGCGACCTCCCCCTCCGCCCTCCCCGCCCCTCCCCGCCCCCCTCGCGACACGCCCCTCCGCCCTCTCCCCCCTCCCCTCGCCCTCCCCCCGCGCCCCCCCCCCGCCCCTCCCCTCGCGACACGCCCCTCGCCACGCCCCCCCTCTCTCGATCCGGCCCCTAGACGTCCGGGAATCGCGGCCCAAGTACTTAGGTTAAAACACGACGACGATCTTTTGCGACTCCGAAAATTTGCTGAAACGAACCTATCATTTGTGAGGAACTTCGGAAGACTCAAATTGTGGACAGTACATGCGTTTAGGTAAAAAAAAGATTTTATATATATATATATATATATATATATATATATATATATATACATATATATATTATATATATATATATATAATATATGTATATATATATATATATATATATATATATATATATATATATATATATATATATATACATATATATACATATATATATATATATAATATATATATATATATATATTATATAATATATATACATATATATATATATATACATATATATATATATATATATATATATATATATATATATATATATATATATATATATATATATTATATAATATACATATATATATATATACATATAATATATATATATATATATATATATATATATATATATATATATATATATATATATATATATATATATATCCCCACTGCATTCACACAAACATACACACCTTATATAACCTGGCAATCAAGTGCATTTCTAGAGTTTTGGATTTTTGTACTAAACTACACCAGCAATTAGAGTTACATTAGCTTGCCTTTAGTGACGCGATGACGGCGGTGGAGGTATTGCTGAGTCATGCATTTCGTAGAAGAAAAACTCCGGCATTTCTAAGATGCTGATGACAAATACTGCAAAGTCAAGACATAGAAGTACTAATTTTTCTATCTCTTTTTTATATATATATATGAGACATATATATGATATATTACTACTTTGTTTTATTTATTTTTATTTTTTCTTCTCTTTCATTCTTGAGGTACTGAAGTATATTAAAAAAAAAAAGAATATAACAAATTAATGTAAGGTTTTCATTTTGTAGAAGAAAGTTGGGATGAAATGTCTTTCTTTTTCTGATCCCAGAACTTAACGCTCAAATGTGATTTAAAGATTAACAAACTACTACGCATATAAGGAACGTGTAAATACACACTCTAGTTCAACTCCCTCCCCCCCTTCCCCCTCCCATGTTGCCATTTTCATTTATTTTTTTTTTTTTCCTTTTGTCGTACAGTCTATCATCACAAATCGTAAATTTTGTAAACATTCAACAACACAAGAAATCAATTATGATTCTCAATATCTTCGTTCATTTCATCTCCATTTCACTTTTTTTCTCCCCCGAGCTAAAAAAGACATAAATGATAATAATAACTATGATAATAATTACCATGATAACTCCTAGCATTATGATCGGCAAAACAACCATAATCCTCTTTGGACTCATTTTTATCTCCGTTTTCTTTCTCTCTCGTTTCGCACAAGGATTTCTTCGACAATCTAGGTAGTAATAAAGATCCTTTCCAGAGGCAGATTATTTCGTAATTTACAAAGTTCCCAGACGTGGCTTTTCCAGACTTTTCTCTAAATCATATAAAAGAAAAATAAATCGATTGAACCCTCGTGATCAAATTACTTTTTCAACCCCTGCATTTCTCTCGAGTAAAACGTCTATTTCTCCTAAACGTAAAAAAAAAAAAGACGAAATCTAACACCTAAAGTAAATCGGAAGAAAAAAAAAAGCAAGAAAACAAGAGAAAAATCCTCACTTTCACTCACCTTCTTCCTTCCTCCTTTCTCCTCATTCTCCTCCTCCCTCCCCCTCTCGCCTCTCTCCTCGCTTTCCCTCTCGCCTCCCCGACACGAATGAGAGATTTGTTAATTAACAAAATAATCGTCGCCAGCCAACAGCAACTCATCCACACCCGTTAATTTCGACCCTTGATTGATTAATTCATCTCAGTCTTACTATTAATGAAACATCAAACACTGACGGGCTTGTCACAGTGATCGTGCATACATGTATATATATTTTTCCGGAACAAATACGACATCATCTTCAATACGGGGTTAGCTTTTTTCAAATAAGGATTTTTATATA